TTCCTGATGTTTTCCCAACATTTTCTAAGTTGCTCCAATGTACGCTGTCATTCAAAAGAGACACACTTTAAGAAATAAATTAAAATTAGTAGATAAATTTAACTTACAAAGGTTGTTTCAGCCATAGAATTATATTCTTCGGTAAGATTTTCCCAGGACTTTTTCTTTTTTTTTTGCATTCAATATCATTATATTTACCCACCAAATCTAACAAAATTCTTTTTTCGTCCGCGCTCATAAAGGTTCGTTTTGGTTCCATAACGTCAACAAAACGTCATCGATTGTTATGACGTTTTCCCTAATTGCACACTAACGTTAGTGACTCTTTATGAATACCAAACTTTAGGGAGAGTGACACTTAAATTCCACTAACCCTAAAGTTAGTAATATTTTAGGTTAAGTGTCACTTTAGTGACGTTTATGAATTTGGTCCATAGTGTTAATTCTACATAGTAACAATGCTGGTGTAAAGTTCTAGTTTTAGTTCAATAAAAATATGCAACATAGTGATATCTCATGTTGACTAGCGCTACCTACGCGAAATGCACTGTCACTAGAACTAACATTAGACCTAGAACTAGAAACATTCAGACATGTTGCATTTAATGTGGGACAAAGTAAGTAGGTACGGCCTGATTTATATGGAAATATATTTTTGTATAGTGCATGTTAAGTGAAATTCAGTGTATTTCGTTATATCGAGGTTTTACTGTATTTTAGAACTAATAGAATACGTTATTAGTTACTTTTCATCCCCGATGTTGCTTTCACTATGGTAGACTAAAAGGAAGAGAACATTTAGAAATTCCCAGCAGGAGTTTTGAGACGGGTCGCTATTAAAAACGAAACTTTCCAACGACGGCCTGGCCTCGATAATTTGGCAACGAGCGTAGCGGAAGAGAAGCGGAGACGGCGAGGGTCTAAATTGCATCCAAAATTTGACAGCTGTTGGCGTAGTGCATCTCGCAGGGACAGCACGTGCCTTACAGTTCCTGAAACTTTCTTAATGCACGCAGATGTTGCTGTACCCCTTCAAACGAAAATCCCCGACGTAATCCACACCAAAACACAGTTCGATCATTTATACTCGTGAATAATTTAAAAGTTTCAGCCGGTTGATGGACGAGTACACATACAGATAACAGATATAGAGAAAGAGTCGACATGACGACGTCCGATTTTCCTAATACGACGATTTATCGGTGTCCCGACAGCATAGCGGGAGAGAGAACCGAATTCCGGGTTTCGTGTAAATCAACTCGGTATTAGGCGAGTACAAGAGCTTTCGTCTGGTAACCGACTCGAGGGAAGGCAATTTAAATGGTTTTCGGACGAGGTGGAGAGACTGCGGAATTAATTGCCGAGGGACGTCGGCGAAGAAATATGAACTTTTCGGTCGTTCCCTTCCAACCGGACGTGTATATTGCCGAAGATTTATGAGCGTCGGTTAAGAAATGTCCAATGCAACGTCAGAAAATCATTTAAATTTTTTCAAAGCATCCTAGCTTAATTTACCCACCTAATAAGCTGTTGTATGATTTAGGAATGTTTAATAAGCGGTTTCTCCAATTAGTGTTATAATAACGTGCCAATGCTAGCTTAAGATAATAATTTCATGGTGTGAGGTATTCCGGTGGACTCAAATGCACGAGGATGTCTAGGAGGTGAATCGAGAGGAGGAGTCTCGAGGGGGCCCCTAATATCCTTCCAGCGTAGCGTGCATTATTAAAACCGAACCCTAATTAGAGAACGTGCTGTACGCTGTGTTTAAGTTATTAAGAGCCATTGAACATGTAGTTTACATACATTAGCCGTGGGTCCCGATGAATAAGTACGCGAATAAAGGTAGCGTGGTGGCGTGCCCGAACCTGTTTTGATACCGCGTTTGTAAGATCCATAACGGAAATCGGATAAGAGGTTCCTTTCGATATATATACATACTTTTTTGCTTATTTTTCGTGCTATATTCCATGTAAAAGTGTGGTAAGGTGAAAGGCGGCGAGGTCGATATGGACAAAGTGCTTACCAAAAATCCCAAATCCCGGAGAGCATCGCGTATTCTAAACACACGCCCGGCGTAAGGCTTACGTTGGATGCCGCAGTGCCTCTTCCGGGGAGGATTTATGTCCAAAGATGCAATTCCGGAAATTTATAGTCCGCCGGAAAATTTTCGAACGTCCGCGAAAAGTGGAATCCCGTTTTCGTATTCAACCGATAAACCCTTGTTTCGGGGTTTTGTTACATTTTTCATCTTCAAATTTAACCCACTTATCTAAACAATCACCTTGAACAAAAAATTCTTGTAATATCTAATTGGCAAGAGTCATTTTGAAAAAGATCTTAGTGAGGTGTTGAAGTTCGGTATCTCGGTAAACAGGCGCGTTCCCATGCGGCGCTGTAACGGAGCCAAACACAGTTCAGAACTCCTGTATTATTGAATTTCCGGTACGGTATAGGGCGCGGGTCTCGAGTCGGTCCCAGGATGGATATGCGGGATATCCGAGTCGCAGCGGGGGGACCCCAAGTAGCCCTCCTGCGCTCCGCCTGCAACTTCCTTCCGTATTGTATTATGAAAGTTGGCGAAACTTGCCCAATTGCAGATAAATGCGTCTGATATTGTTAAAGTAGAGTTCCGCGCGGCGTACGCCCAAACTTTTACCACCCCAGTAGCACCAGGAAGACGCCATCTCTACCAACTAGAAACACCCTTTCGCTACTACCTTATCAACTCCGACAAGACCCCGTTTCTCGTTTTAAATGTTGTACCCTTTCCAACAAAATAAAAAACCTAGATTAAATTATTTGTAGTTGTTCTTTTAAAGTTCCATCCACATAATACCCCTTTAGGTTTAGGCTACATTAACCACGCAGTCTGAGGCAATGGCAAATTCCTAACCTCCCAAGCGTTTTGGCTCAGGTAAGAGCAGCCATTGCCCGGGCAATAACGCTGGAACGCTTTTATATTTAGATTAGTTCACCCCCCGGCCCCTCGTTCGCTCTGCCCTGGGGTTCGCTTTTACCACGCGAACCGCGGCTTTATAAAACGGTTATTACGCACTGAATTTTAAACCCGCCGTATCGCAAAAATAAACATCGGCAAGTTTGCAATAACTTAATAACGAACAATTTTATTAATTAAGGAAAACAAATATACATATATACGTATATGTATACGTTTTCATTATTTTATTATTATACTCAAATTTTTCACCAGAACGCAATGCCATTTTTATTTTGACATAATATGATATAATATATGAAAATGACAATTCCAACTTGACATATGACACTCAATCAAAAGATATATCTAGTTTTAAAATAATATTTGTAACTTGATATGGAACACTTTAAGAATAAAAAGAGTTATTCCCAATTTGACATATGACGTGTAAATCTGAGAAATGACCTTTTTAATTAACAATATGACATTTCTAACTTAGCACATCACTTTTATATATACTATAAAAATAACATTTTTACTTTGAAAATTACATTTACAATCTGACTTAAGATATTTAAACCCTAAAAACAACATTTGCAGCTTGACATACGACAGTTCTGACTTGACAGATGACATTTACAGTATAAAAATGACATTTCAACTTTGAAAATGACATATCCAACTTAACATGATATTTACATACCCTAGAAATGATATCTATAGCTTGACATACTACAGTTCTGACTTGACACATGACATTTACAGAATAAAAACGCCATTTCTGCTTTCCAAATCGAATTTCTAATTTGACATAAGACATTTAAACCTTAGAAATGACATTTCCAACTAGACATATAACACTCAAACTATAAATTTGATTTTAAACATATTTTTAACGTAACATGTGACAGTTTAAGAATAAAAAGATGCATTTCCGACTTGAAGTACGGTATTTAAACCATATAAATGTCATTTTTAACTTGACACATGTCATAAGAAAGCCGCAATTGACATTTTACTTTGCCACTGTGACACAAAATGACATTTCTACTTTGAAAATGGCATTTCCAACATAACATATATTATTTAAACCCTGGAAATGATATTTATAGCATGACATACGTCAGTTCTGACTTGACACATGACATTTACAGTATAAAAATGCCATTTCAGCTTTCAAAATCGAATTTCCAATTTGACATATGACATTTAAACCTTAGAAACGACATTTCCAACTAGACATATAACACTCAAACTATAAATTTGATTTTAAACATATTTTTAACGTAACATGTGACAGTTTAAGAATAAAAAAGATGCATTTCCGACTTGAAGTACGGTATTTAAACCATATAAATGTCATTCCTAACTTGACACATATCATAAGAAAGCCGCAATTGACATTTTATTTTGCCACTGTGACACAAAATGACATTTCTACTTTGAAAATGGCATCCAACATAACATATATTATTTAAACCCTAGAAGTAACATTTACAGCTTGACATACGACAGTTCTGACTTGACAGATGACATTTACAGTATAAAAATGACATTTCAACTTTGAAAATGACATATCCAACTTAACATGATATTTACATACCCTAGAAATGATATTTATAGCTTGACATACTACAGTTCTGACTTGACACATGACATTTACAGAATAAAAACGCCATTTCTGCTTTCCAAATCGAATTTCTAATTTGACATATGACATTTAAACCTTAGAAATGACATTTCCAACTAGACATATAACACTCAAACTATAAATTTGATTTTAAACATTTTTAACGTAACATGTGACAGTTTAAGAATAAAAAGATGCATTTCCGACTTGAAGTACGGTATTTAAACCATATAAATGTCATTTTTAACTTGACACATGTCATAAGAAAGCCGCAATTGACATTTTACTTTGCCACTGTGACACAAAATGACATTTCTACTTTGAAAATGGCATTTCCAACATAACATATATTATTTAAACCCTAGAAATAACATTTACAGCTTGACATACGACAGTTCTGACTTGACAGATGACATTTACAGTATAGAAATGACAGGTCAGCTTTGAAAATGACATTTCCAACTTAACATGATATTTACATACCCTAGAAATGATATTTATAGCTTGACATACTACAGTTCTGACTTTACACATGACATTTACAGAATAAAAACGCCATTTCTGCTTTCCAAATCGAATTTTCAATTTGACATATGACATTTAAACCTTAAAAATGACATTTCCATCCAGACATAAACACTCAAACTATAAATTTGATTTTAAACATATTTTTAACGTAACATGTGACAGTTTAAGAATAAAAAGATGCATTTCCGACTTGAAGAACAGTATTTAAACCATATAAATGTCACTTCCAACTTGACACATATCATAAGAAAGCCGCGATTGACATTTTACTTTGACACTGTGACACAAAATGACATTTCTACTTTGAAAATGGCATTTCCAACATAACATATATTATTTAAACCCTAGAAATGACATTTCTAGCTTGACATGCGACAGTTCTGATTTGACAGATGAAATTTATAGTATAAGAATGACATTTCTGTCTTGAAAATGACATTTCCAATTTGACATATGACATTTAAACCTTATAAATGACGTTTAAAGATTGACATATGACATTTTTAACTTGACACAAAACATTTTAGATATAAAAATGACATTTTTACTTTGAAAATATATTTTTTTTTGGTTTGATTTTGTGTATATCATGGTAAGCGAGCGAATGAACCCCGACACGGTGGCATAAAAAAATTTGTTCCGCGGAAGCAATATTTATTTATGCGATAAACCGAATATATTTGCACGCTTAACAATATGTAACGAAACGTGAATGTTTTCGTGTCATCGAAGCAATCTGTTATGTGAATCAAAAACAGCACGGAATTTCAATCAAATCGCAAAAAAAAAATGGTTATAAACTACCAAACTAGTATCAATTAAAAAGGAACACAATGTGTTCAGGGAAATTATAACCAGTTTATTTTCAGTCGATTTTATTTTATCATTGTATTTATTTATTTAAATAAACTCTTAATTGCGTTTTAAAATATTAAAACGTTATACATATATCGGATTATGTTCTATTATGGCTTATTAAGATTTAAAACATTTTTTTTGATGATTCAAGGATAATTTTGACCTAAGGGGTTATCTCACGTGGTTGTTAATCAGTTTGGCAGATAACGGGCAGCGCCGAATTTATCAGCAATATCCGGACGCCATATATCCATCCCCATTATCAGGCGGAGTGCAATTTGTAGTGTCAATAATTCGCCCCCGTAATTGCCACCGGTATCATCCCCTAGTTACTTGGTCCGTGACGTTTTCAGAACCCCCCCTATATGTACCTTCAATTAAACCGCACTCAAAAACCAATTTGAATTTTAAACCAAATCAAATACACAATACAATTTCTATATATTATTTAAAATGTAATAAATCAGAAAAGTTTAACTAAATCCTTTGAAATTTCAATTTAGTATCAATCCCCACATGGATTTGCCTAGTTCTAATTGCTAGATAGAGTTGGAAACTGTCCGAAACCATTTTCGGAATAAGTCGTCGTCGTCCTCGTTGTTGTTTGTAATTTATGGGTTAACCGCGCACGTTCGCGAATAATTCAATAGTAAAATTTCTGTTTATTGTTTTGCAGGTTACTTTTGGCACGTGACGGATTTCCACTTCGACCCGCACTTCGCACAGCACGGCGACGTCAGAAAAGGTGAGTAAATAAGCTCCCGTAGCCGTGTCAAAGTGGGTTGTTTACTCGGCGTCAACGAGAAAGAAAAAAAAACCGGGGAAAAAACTCAAAACCTTTCTGAATTAAGGAGACATACTTTATTCGTGAATCCAGAAGTATACGAACGCCTCAGGAGCGAAATTTAAATTTTCTCTTTTTTTTTTAAAGGGATATTGTGTAATTCTGGAATTTAGTTTATAGCGTTAGTTCTAGTTTTAGTTCCATAAATGCCGATGAATAACAATTAAAACTTTCCAACATGACATATGGAATTTAAATCATATTAAATGACGTTTCTAACATGATATCCTAAGAAAGTTGAGGTTGAGGTGGGTTGATTTGGATTAGGTTGTATTTCAAATATAAAACTGACATTTCAACTTCGAAAATGACATTTTCAACATTACGTATGTCATCTAAATCTTAGAAATGACATTTATAATTAGCAACATGACATTGCTAACTTAGCACATGACATTTATACTATCAAAATAACATTTCTACATTAAAAATGACATTTACAACTTGACTTATGATATTTAAACCCAAGAAACGACATTTATAGCTTGACATATGACAGTTCTGACTTGACAGAGGACATTTACAGTATGAAAATGACATTTCTACTTTGAAAATGACATTTCCAATTACGTATGTCATATAAATCTTAGAAATGACATTTATAATTAGCAACATGACATCGCTAACTTAGCACATGACATTTATACTATCAAAATAACATTTCTACTTTAAAAATGACATTTACAACTTGACTTATGATATTTAAAGCCAAGAAACGACATTTATAGCTTGACATATGACAGTTCTGACTTGACAGAGGATATTTACAGTATGAAAATGACATTTCTAATTTAAAAATCGAATTTCCAATTTGACATATTATGATATTGAAATAACACTTACAATTTGACGTATAACGCTCAAACTATAAAAGTGATGTTTCTAATCTAAAGTAATATTTGTAACTGACATATTATGACACTTTTTTATAAATTTAAATGCTTGTTCAAATGAAATCATTGTATTAAGAGAACCTAACACATCAATTTAAAGACTCATATCCTTTTCAAAGTAGGTTGTTTACATGGTAGAACGGACGTCAACAAGAAAAGAAGGGAAAAGAATTCGAAACCTTTTTGAATTAGAGGGACATGCTTTATCCTCAATTCGGAAGCCGTGCAAACGCCTCCGGGTGCCTTTTAACCCCCACTAATATACGGTTGGTCGCAGTGGGGAAAATTACAGGAACGTTCAAACAGCGATACCAAGAGAGAGAGCTATTTATATCGATTCATTTTACTTACACCCGGAGAATCTAAATCTAATGCGACACCGCTTAGAAAAATATATAGCACGGTTATTCCGTTTATTTTCCAACCTTAATTCCACTTAAATTACCCTATAATTTTTGCTATATACTCTGTGATTACGATTTACTCTTGTATTAGGTAAACTACCGGGATTTAAATTTAAAGTTTTTTTTAATCTCCATAAATGATTTAAATTTAAAAACGTCTTTAATTAAGAAACCATCTCAGATTTAACCGAGTTCCTTTTCGATCCCGATGGATTGCTCTTTAAGAGTTCTATCTATTAACTCACTGAAGAATCTTACGGGCAATTTACGGGAGTAATGTCTCAGATTAAGTTAACAGGTAAAAAGTAAATGTTGAGAAATGAAGAAATATCAATCGACTAATATAAGAATCGATTAAATTGAATAAATGATATTTGAGATTAACCCCTCGTGTGTTTTTGGTGGCGCTGAATTGATAGACACGATCGCTCCATTAAGTTTTTGCTTTCCCCGTTGGCGAAAGAAAAAAAAATGTGAAGCGGGTGGAAAGAATGCGTTTCGGTGGTCTGCCGAAGAGCAATATTGATGATTTGTTCCGGGGCGACGTTCATTAATCTTGAACGGCGTCCGTCGCAGCACCGGGACGCGTCTTTTGGCCCTCAGCCAAGCAAAGTTTTCCACCACCGCGAAATTAATTGCACCCAAGCTTTTCGATACGGCTTTACTAAGTAGAAAAATTCCGCAACTTCGAAAGGCAAAATCTTTCCCCTCAGAAGACGCCGCGAAGAAGTATTAGATCCTCCTCGGCATCAAAAGATAAAAGGTGAACCGGCGGTAAAGGGTCCCGTAGAGTGGTTATAAATATTAAAAATTCATATTCCCCGCGAGTAATATACCTGGAGTTAGTTGGTGAATATAAAGTGGCTTGAAAAGACTGCCCTTGCCGTCTCCGCTACCGCCTCCTACTAGTCCTAGTTCCTAGTGGTGCTTCGTCTCGTTGCGAAAATATTTAATTAATTTCTACTATGAAATAGACAGTTCATAAGGTAGTTTTACTAAAAATGGGAGGAGTTTGTGTCATACTACTAAAAGAATTTAAATTTACATAATTTAAACTTTCTATACTCTATTTTTTAATTCGGAAGAGTGTTTTCAAATTGAAGCGCCAAAAAGAAGGGTTGCTATTGGTCAGTTTTAAGCAAAATTACACTAGGAAAGTTCGAGATGGTGCCGGCCGCCTAGAAACATTCGTGTTTAGCCGCACGTCGCTCAGTATGGCTAAACCCAAATGATTCTAGTTCTAGGTCTTGTAATAGTACTAGTGTTTGCTTACTACTTAGTAGAGATGAGCTAAACTGCGATTGGTTAATCATATGACACATTGCTAATGCTACTACCAAATAGCAGTGATTGTAAACTGCTAAACTGCTAATAAGGACTTTTAGATTTTTATTAATATAAACGTTGTATAAACAGCGTATATATTTATTATTATAAATTTTAAACAATATATATTGTATATTGGTAGTGAACACAAATAAAACATTAAAAAAACATAAACATGTATTGAACAAACTATGTAAAATATAATAAGTTAAAAAACAAAAGTAAACTCTTTGGCAACTTAAAAATAAAACTCTTGGGAGTCTTGGACGACAACGAAACAACTATTGGCTTACAAGTGAATTCCATTAACATTCAAAAATAAAATCATGTTGGCTTTTGTTGTACTTAAACGACTTCTTTTGTCTGTAATAACCAAGCCTGCTTTTGAAAATACCCGTTCACATGGTACTGAAGTGCATAAAGCACTGAGCTTTTCTTGGGCAACACGTTTTAGGTAAGGATATTGATATCCATTGATCCTCCACCATTTTAACGGATCCTCGTTTCTAGGAATTAATCCGCATTCGAGAAATCTCTCGATTTCAATAATGGCCATAAAACGACCTTTNGAAGTTTTTCAGTGTTGTTCTTCTGGCATTAGTAGATTCGAATTACAACTTTTTATACGTCAACGTAGGATGCCAAGGCCGGATCTCAGATGGCGGGGTTTTCAAGAATACAACATTGTACCGAAAACTTGAAAATCAGCAACTAAACATACCACCATCCGAAATTATAGATGAAGAGAACGTCACAAAAATTCCATATGTAATATTAGGAGATCAGGCTTTTGCGTTGGATAGATACATGATGACACCTTACTCAGGAAGCCATAGAAAAGGTTCCAAAGAAAGAATTTTTAACTATCGGCTATCTAGAGCACGCCGAGTAGTTGAAAATGCTTTTGGGATTATGTCGTCCAAATTTAGAGTACTAAGAAAACCTATGATTTTAAATCCGACATCGGCCAACAAAGTTGTCTTGGCTACAGTTTACTTACATAATTTTCTACGTAGAGATTTGTTACCAAGAAATAAAGTAACCAATACATCAGTTAATGAAGAAGTCACAGCAACGCAAAATCAAGTTGTAGATATCTCCCCCACTGACATTCGCAATTTTTTAGCAAATCATTTTGTACATAATGCGCCGGTTCCATGGCAATACAATTATTAAATACTTATTTTTGTTTCAAAAAGCAATGAAACTACGTACCATTGTATCAAATGTTTCAACAGGATTGTTTTTGTCATGTAAAAAGTGAAATGATTCATAAGCATACCATTTAGATTTATATGACTGGTTTCTACCTGCAACAATGAATTTTTTGTTTAGATTTTTATATATTTAATATCTAATAATTGTTAAAAAAAGAATGAAAGAATAGTGTCATTAATGCTCCAAAACGGAGTTGACAAGTAAAAAAAGAAGTTGAAATACAAAAATGACGAAAGGAACAAGAAAGTTTATGTTTTTATAAATAGTTGTTTTTAATACTTTAACATTTTCATTATTGATTATAATAAACTTTATTAAATTAAAACTAGAACTAACATTACCACTATTACTAGAACTAGAAACTTTCGGGTTAAGCGATGCATTTGTTGAAAAAATGTTTAACGTTTCGGATGCCATGTTGATACGTTCTTCAGAAACGCACTTCGAACTTGTTTCTGAAGAAGGTTAAACAAGTTCGAAGTGAGTTTCTGAAGAAGGTTGCAACATGGTATCCAGAACGTTAAACATTTTTTCAAAAAACGCGTGGCTTAACCCGAAAGTTTCTAGTTCTAGTAATAGTGATAGTGTCAGTTCTAGTTTTAGTTTAATTAACACCATTTCAAGTCTTTTACTATTAATGACGTCAAGCTTATGTAAACTTATGTAACTTACGTTTGATGTATGAACTTGTGTTAACAAATGATGAAAATATTCCTCTGACAATCGAATTTTTTAATGAATTCATCATCTGACTGGACACGATGGTGGACACGATTTATCATTTCTTTTATTATACGTCCACCAAATATGGAAAATTAATTATTAATTTCTTCCAAGATCAATTATGATTTGAGGTTAGATATAAATGATGCGCCATCTAGTAAAAAACGAGTCGAACCTATTTGACAAATAAATTTTTATACCGAACTACCGAACCTCAAACCTGTAAACCAACAAGATAAATATGATAGTAAAACATGATTTTTGCGCTATTCGTTAGCTGAAGATATCAACCACTTTAATTAGAGATGGTAAAAGTGGGTCTAAACTAGAGATGAGCTAAACTGCGATTGGTTAATCATATGACACATTGCTAATGCTACTACCAAATAGCAGTGATTGTAAACTGCTAAACTGCTAATAAGGACTTTTAGATTTTTATTAATATAAACGTTGTATAAACAGCGTATATATTTATTATTATAAATTTTAAACAATATATATTGTATATTGGTAGTGAACACAAATAAAACATTAAAAAAACATAAACATGTATTGAACAAACTATGTAAAATATAATAAGTTAAAAAACAAAAGTAAACTCTTTGGCAACTTAAAAATAAAACTCTTGGGAGTCTTGGACGACAACGAAACAACTATTGGCTTACAAGTGAATTCCATTAACATTCAAAAATAAAATCATGTTGGCTTTTGTTGTACTTAAACGACTTCTTTTGTCTGTAATAACCAAGCCTGCTTTTGAAAATACCCGTTCACATGGTACTGAAGTGCATAAAGCACTGAGCTTTTCTTGGGCAACACGTTTTAGGTAAGGATATTGATATCCATTGATCCTCCACCATTTTAACGGATCCTCGTTTCTAGGAATTAATCCGCATTCGAGAAATCTCTCGATTTCAATAATAGCGCGTGTTGATGTTGAGGAAGTTTCTTGAGGAACAGCTTTATCGGATGTATTTTTGTCAAATGCGGACCACACCGAAAGTTCATCATCATTCACCTCTTCTGAGGAATTTATGCGAATATTTTGATCTTGTGTACCTTCATTCGAATTCGATACCTTAACAATCATGTCAGTCACAGCAGATATCATTTGTTCCTTAACCAGCCCTTGTGCTGTTTGATTTGTAAAAGCATGTAACTTAAATCTAGGGTCGCAGAAACTGGCCCCACAAAGAATTCTGTTTTCATGGACTTTTTCTAAACGATTCTTAATACCACTTTGAAATATTTGTAATACTTTTTTTATACAATCAGATAAATCTTTTTGTAGCAGTTTTGCACAGATATCAGTTAAACCATTGACGACAGGTATAACAATTGCTGCAGTTCCGTAAGTGTCACCACTAAATATTTTTGTGGCCGACTCAAACGGTTTTAGAATTTGTACCAATTCTTTCAGAATTTGCCATTCTTTTTGCTCTAAAATCGGCAGATTGGTACTTAGTAGCGCTGTTGTTGCCTTTACAGCTTCTTCAAGTTGTATAAATCTTTCGAGCATATATTTTCAGCTTCTAATAGCCAAGCTAGTCCGTTATGAATGTAAAGAAGACGTTGTACATTGGTTCCAGTCATATCTTGTGAACAGATCTCAACATACAAAGATTAATGGTAATATATCTAGCGGTATCCTAGTCAAGCAAGGTGTTCCACAGGGAAGTGTTTTGGGTCCTATATTATTCAACTTATTTACGGCAGACATGCCAAATGTAGTGACGAGCTGTTCGGTTCATCAATACGCGGATGATGCGCAGATTTACATTTCTTGTGATCTATATTATCAGTGTTGATGACACGGTGCGCTTGCTTAACTCTGATTTAAAGAATATTTGTGAGTGGTGTTCTATTAACGGGTTAATTGTTAACGGGAAAAAAGCTATATGTATGTGTGTCGGGTCGGCCAACATTCGCAGAAGAGCAATCGATAATTTATCGGTTCCTATACACCTCAATGGAACTGTCTTAGCGTTCTCTGAATCGACCAACAACTTAGGTCTTACTGTCGACAGTAATCTTAATTTTGCGGAACATGTAAATAAGAAAATTGGTGTGTGCTACTATAAGTTAAAATCGTTATATAAATTTAAGTCATTGTTGTCACCACAATTGAAATGGAGACTTGTTAACTCCTTAATTCTAAGTCAACTTGATTACTGTAGTAACGTTTACTACAATTTTCTATCAGCTACTTTAAAAAATCGTATTCAAATACTTCAGAACAGCGGACTTAGGTTTTCATACTCGATTGATCGTAGAGAACATGTTACCCCCTATTACATAAGATATTCTATCTTAAAAATGGAACCTAGATGTACACTCTTGCTAGCTGTTATGTTATACAATGTAATATTTTACAAATTGCCTTATTATTTATATTGTATCTTAGTACCAAGATCGCAAATACATAATGTTAATCTAAGACAAACGAAGTTGTTGACGATTCCCAAACATAAATCTGCTAAATTTTGTGGTAGCTTTGCGTACAGAGCACCTACAATTTATAATTGCTTTTCAGATGTTTTTCAGTTGAAATCTAATAGATCTTTTAAATGCACCTTGAAGCGCAGGCTTCTTGAGGAACAAGAATCAAAATGTTAAGTTTAATTATTTTTATTTTGTTGGTTATTACTTTGATATATATGTATTTATTTTTGGTTTTCTAGTTTTCTAGTAATCAGCTATGCTGTACCCTANCTACTTGTAGTACTTCGTTTAAAAAACGCCACAATTTTCTTAACTTTTTCTATTATGGATACAATATTATCATCGCATTTTAGTCCAGCATTGACTATTAAGTTTAGGGTATGCGCCAAACAACCAAAGTGATTCCACTTTAATCGGGTTTCCATTACATTAACAATATTATACGCATTGTCGGAAATTCCTAATAATACCTTCTCTTTGATGTTCCAATCTGTCACTACCGTATCAAGACATTCGGCAAGATTTGCAGAGGTGTGGTTTCCTGGCAAATTCTTGCATTCTAAGAGAAGCGATTTTAAGTTAAATTTGTCGTCAACATAGTGTGCAGTCACTGCAATGTAAGCCTCATTATTAATTGAAGTCCAGCAATCTGTGGTTATGCAGATCCGCTTTGCTTCTGTAAGTAATTCTTTTACTCGTAACCTACATTTTTCAAATAATGCCGGAAGCATAGTACGTGATATAAAATGTCTGCTTGGTAACTGATAACTCGGATTAAGTTCGTGTATAAAATCACAAAACGCTTGTTCTTCGACCAATTTGAAGGGTTGGAGAGATTTTGTAAATAACAACATGAGCTTACTATCAAGAGTGGTTTTCTTGCTTTCATTTAATGGCCTATTCATATACGTTGTTATCGGAACTACTCTTTGATTTTGTGTTGCTGGTTGAGATTCACTCTAATAAAAGTTGAAAGAAAAAGATTGCAATAAAAAAATCGGCAAAACATACTTTACTAATTAATATTTAATATTAATATTATTATTTTAATATTAATATTTTTATTTTAATATTAATTATTACCTGTTGTGAGTTAGAAGATGTACTATCTCTTCTAGCTGTCGAAGTACTGGAACTTGGTATGGATACAGTCGGATGTTTACATTCCAAATGTTTTTTTAAATTGGTTATGCTTGTTTTGTACGAAAACACCCTTTTGCATAAGTTGCATTTGGCAAAAAATTCATCTACCTGGTCGTAAAACAACCATATTTCACTAATTTTTCTTCTTTGTGTTGACGACATTCTTTTTTATTGCACAAATTCGTGAATATTTTACAACAACACGCTTGTTCAAGTTTGTTTACGAGTTTGTGAGCACATGGCACGAAGTGAATACATTTACCGAAAAAATCCGAGCTCTTACGATAAGAGCTCGGTTGAAGTAGCAATAGCAATGCTGGCACGCACTAGATCATATGATGATCTGCGATTTTTCGTTCACAGTGATCAAATCACAGGTTGCTATTTATTGCTCATCTCTACTACTTAGTACTTGTTACTACTTGTTTTAGTTCAATAGAAATATACAACATACTGCCATTAGAACTAACACACGACCTAGAACTAGAATCATTCGGGTTTAGCCCTCTTGAAAGACGTGCGGCTAAACCAGAATGTTTCTAGATCTTGGTCTAGCGTTGCATAACAATTAAAACTAGAACTAACACTAGACCTAAAACTAGAAAGTTTCGGGTCTAGATTCAAAAAAATTACGTTCCTAACTATACATATGACATTAAAACCCAAAAAATGACATTTCTAATTTGAAAATGACGTTTGTAACTTCACATATGACGTTTAAACAACTTTTAAATAATTATTAATTAATATTTCGACACATAACTCTTAATGGAAACCTAATGTTTGGATAAGAACCTTTAAGATTCGTATTTCTGGGCCGTTTACCCTTTTGTACTAAATCGACCCGAACACCTGCAACTCACGATGAAATTCAAAGGGCAATCGCTCGTGATTGATATGCCAAAATACCTCGCCCTACTTATGCAGAATGCAAATGTACAAGACGCCTGCTGGAAGAATCCTTTTTTTATCCTCTTTTCAACTTCCCCGTTTCGCAATTTAAATGATAAATACCGCATACACTCAGCTCCCGTATTAGCGATTCAAATTGCGTAGCATTCTTAAAGAAATTTATAAATTTTCTCTTCCACTCTTTATTCGCATAGTCGCCGAAAGAAAAGTTGTCCCCTCAGCGACTAATAACTCGTAATTGAGGGGAACTCGTACAACTTTCTTGACTACCTAAGGGACCCGGAGCAAACAAAACTGCGGCCTAGCAAAGGATAGTTCTCGAGACTTTCGTGGAGAGAAAGTAAACATAGAATTCGTGGGGGAAGGAAATATCTTCAGCTTCCGCCAACAACGGCAGACGCACACACGAAACCACTATTCAAATTCCAAATTCAGAATCGCAGCTTTACTTTGCTCATTCGAAGTTTCATTCTAATCATCTTGATATCATCTCTAATTAGAAATCTTATTAGTAAGTTTTTGTCTTTTTTTTAGGTTGTTGGAAACCAAATGGATCTCGAGAACCGCATAGTAGGAGTGTAGGAAAATACGGAGATTACTCTTGCGACGCCCCTTGGGATTTGATAGAATCGGCAACCAGAGCGATGGCGTCCAGGCAGGGTGACAACGTCGAATTTGTATTGTGGACGGGGTAAGAATATGTAAAGATATAGAAAAGATTGAAAATGAAACGTTGAAATGGAAATGTTAAAATCGAAATGTTTGGTACGAAAGTAAATCCAGTGTAAATCGAAAATCGTATCGACGTATTCGTCCCCTTTTATCATGTCTTTCCCTTGAATCCGAATCGGCATTAAACATTTACGGCAGTTAATGTTCCAGAAACGCGTCTGGCGCCTCCGCCGTTCATGCAATATTCATCCGAAATAAATACGCGGATCGGCGGCACCGCGTCACGTCGGAATTTAGCGTCGGCCGTTTCGTGGAAGGCCGTAAATACGTCCAGATGGAACGGATGGAATGGCGGGCATAAATTCGCGCCGACGCGCATCGCGACGCGACGCCGAATGCGGACGGCTTCCGTTTTCCGGACGCGCCCCTTAATGAAATCTTTTGAGCCCTCTCTTTCCCTTACTGAGTTATCGTACACCAAAACCCATTTTACGTTTCCTTTAAACTAGATTCATGACATCTACATACATGAAAATTAACCAAATCTCACTCAACAAAAAGAAATTAAGTAGACAATCCCTAATAAATAGCTTCTTGAATTATATAAGGCATAAAACTATGACTACACGGCTTCCTCTATATCTGTTCTAAGCGAGCGTTATCAATGAATATATTAGTTCTTATTAGTATGTGACATTTAAGCTATAAAAATGACATCTGATTTGACAGGTGACATTTAAAGTTTTGAATTTTACGTTTCCTTTAAACTAGATTTATGACATCTACATACATGAAAATTAACCAAATCTCACTCAACAAAAAGAAATTAAGTAGACAATCCCTAATAAATAGCTTCTTGAATTATACAGGGTGTCTCAGCGAGACCGGTCATTAGACGTTTCTGGGGTACTGGCGAAAATAAAAATTTGGGAATTCAGACTTAAGTATTATCAATTACTTGCGATGTCTTTAATTGTCTTTTTAATTTTTAATTTAATTGTCTTTTTAATTGTCTTTAAGATGTCTTTAATAATTACGATGTCTTGCACTTCCGGTTATACCGGAAATCGCCACCAACTTTATTTTTTTAAATGGAACACCCTGTATATTTTTACATATTTGGATTTGTCTGTTTTCAAGGTTTATAAATAACTTTACTTTTTGCAATTTGATTCGGCCGTTCTCGAGTTATTCGAATTTTTCTAGAAAAATCTGCTCCAGCAGACATTTGTTCAAAAAATCAGAAAACACTCAATTTTTGGGATATCAATTTAGGATTAAGAACATGCTTAAGCAACATGATGGAGTATGTTTTGGTGCCGAGAACTGCGGTCTAGAACGTTTGATCACTTTACTATGGCACGTTAACTTTTCAAAATTTGGAAGTACCATAACTTCATTTTTTTAAATGGCACCCCCCATATTTTATTTTTTAGTCGTCTTCGGTGTCTCATTCTACATCTTTTATATCCCATATGGCCCATACCTAATATTAATAGTTTGGGAGATAATTAGGGTTTTTTGAAAAATGCACACATATCATATGGATATTTAGCCTAGTGTGCCATGAAAAACAAGCCTTCTCAATGAGTTCTTGTCAAAGACTCACTTGTTTACGTCACTTGATGCATGTGAGCTAATAATTATCTGTTATGTCCCTTAATATTAGTACTGAAACGAGTTAAAATCGATAACAATAACGAAAGTAATATTTACACAAATCAAGAAATTCTTAATTTATTTTTTTTGCATGAAAAGCGCGACAAAGTTCGTAGTATGATTCCCAGATCTTCTTTGGCAGCTCGAATTGAGGTGTTGGGACTGGGCTCGAAATAAGCCAAGGTATTCACCTCTTCCGTTGCATTATCTACTACATTTTTTGGTCAGTTTAACACGTGATTAATTCGTCCAAAATGCAAAAAATTTGCTTCTATTCCTCTAAATTTACCTTTTGTCATCGGAGATAAATGTGGATAATTTTCATTAAACATTCTGCAAGTTCTACTAAGAACTTTGTCGCACTTTTCGTGCACAAAAAATAAATTATGGATTTCTTCATTTGTATAAACATTATTTACGTTATTAATATCCATTTTAACTGGTTTTAGACTCACAAGCATCAAACAACCTAAATTAGACTTTGACGTTTATCAATAAGTCATTAAACATTTGTTTTCCATGGCACACTAGGTTAATATCCATATGATATGTGAGCATTTTTCAAAAAACCCTAATTATTTCTCAAACTATTAATGTTAGGCATAGGACATATGGAATATAAAAGATGTAAAATGAGACGCCGAAGACGACTAAGTAATAAAATATGGGGGGTGCCATTTAAAAAAATGAAGTTATGGTGCTTCCAAATTTCGAAAAGTTAACGTATCATAGTAAAGTGACCAAACGATCTAGACAGCCGTTCTCGGCACCAAAACATACTCCATCATGTTGTTTAAGCATGTTCTGAATCCTAAATTGATATCTCAAAAATTGAGTGTTCTATGATTTTTTGAACAAATGTCCGCTGGAGCAAATTTTTCTAGAAAAATTCGAATAACTCGAGAATTGCTGGTTCAAATTGCAAAAAGTAAAGTTATTTATAAACCTTCAAAACAGACAAATCCAAATATGTAAAAATATACAGGCTGTTCCATTTAAAAAAATAGAGTAGGTGGCGACTTCCGGTATAACGGAATTTGACGTATGACATTTATGTTAAACTCTGCGGTTACCTCTAGTGAATTGTTTTTGAATGATTACCGTGTCTTGAGGGCTGATCGAAGTTCTGATTTGGTTGGATGCTATAAGGTGGGAGGTGTTCTGATAGCTTTATGTAGTGGATTTGTAGTGGAAGTCATCGATATCTCGGACACCCCTGTAGGGTTACTTTCTTTTCAGCCACCATTTACGTCGTCGCTTTGTATATCCCTCCTGATACCCCAAAGCCTGATTTGCTTTCTTTCTTGGATACAACATAGACTATTGATCTTCCCTGTACTTATTGTAGGAGAATTTAATTTACCTGAGTATGTTAAGCCTCCTGGTACCACTGTCGGTGATAAAAGAACACAAGCATTTCGAGGTGTCTACGATTTTTTAAACCTGTGTCAACTGCATCATGTGCTGAACTTCTCTTGTATTTGAAGATTTGTATCATCCCGCCTTAAATATTACCATAAACTTATGTAATCATCAATGAATTTCTTCAGCTTGTGGCAGTCGCTATGATTTTCGCAAAGCCAACCTTCATGGCTTGCATGGTGATTTCCGCGAAATAAATTGGTCCCTTGTTGACCAGTTCGTAGATGTTGATGATGCTGTGCGGATATTTTACATGAAGATCCATGAATTCCAATTCAGTCAGTTGTTTGATCAATTTGGTACACTCCTGAAATTAAAAATCTTTTAAAATTAACCCCACTTCTATAGAAAAATGTGGAAGAGCACTTTATAGTCTTCCAAGAGAAAGTGGATTTTTATCATGCAGAGTTTGGAAGATTGAGATATTTGCCTAAGCAAAAGATCTCTGATTCGTATATAGTCTTTACAAGTAATGCTAAGCAGGCACTGCGGTCTGATCGTCTTAGCTTCTTGAATTATATAAAGCATAAAACTATGACTACACGACTCCCTCTATATCTGTTCTAAGCGAGCGTTATCAATGAATGTCTTAGTTCTTATTAGTATGTGACATTTAAGCTATAAAAATGACATCTGATTTGACAGGTGACATTTAAAGTTTTGAAAGTGACATTTCTACTTTGTAAGTGAGGAGATGGAGTTGGGGGGAATTTTTCCGGATGGGCAGGCAGGCTTTCGGAAGGGAAGGGGAGCAATCGACAACGTGTACGTGTTGAAGCATCTGGCAGATAGAGAGCTGGATAAGAAGGGAGGGAAACTGTACTCCCTGTTTATAGATTTGAAGGCGGCTTTTGATAAGGTGGATAGGGGAAAGTTGTGGGAGGAGATGGGAAGGAGGGGGATCACGGAACACTTAATTGCGAGAGTGAAGGCAATATACATGGAGACTATGGCTAGGATAAAAGTGGGAGATAAGCTGAGCGACGTGTTTTGGACGACGAAGGGACTGAGGCAGGGATGTCCGCTGAGCTCAAGTCTGTTTGCACTGTATACGGCGGACCTGGAGGATAGATTGGGGAAGGGGCAAATGGGAGGGTTGGTGGTGGGAGGTAGAAAGGTGCATATCTTAGCATACGCGGATAACATCGTGGTCATGGCGAGAGAAGCGGCGGAGATGAAAGATATGATAAAGACATTGGAAAGATATTTTAGGGAGAAGGGGCTGGAAGTGAATGTGGGGAAGACAAGGATGATGAAGTTTTGTAAGGGGGGGAGAAAAAGAACAGAAAACTGGAGATGGGAGGGAAAAGAGATCGAGGAGGTTAGGGAGTATACTTACTTAGGGTATGTGTTCAGGGAGGACAACAGGGAGGGGTCGCATGTGATAGCTATGGCAAAAAAGGCGAATAAGGTGATGGGACAAGTATGGGGTTGGGGGAAGAGAGTCTTTGGAAGGAATGTGGCAGCAAGGAAGGTCTGGTTAGCAGTGTGATGATGTATGGAGCAGAGGTATGGGGATGGAGAGAGCAGGCAATGCTGGAGGACGTGCAAGCTAGATACTGGAGATGGGTGCTTGGGGTGGCGAGAGAAACACCGGGGTATATAGTGAGGGAAGAGGTAAAGGTGGATAAAGTCAGAGTGGAGGGGGGCAGGAGAGCAGTGAAATATGAAGAAAGAATAGAAGGGAGGCCAAACTGCGGGATCTTGGGGGAGTGTTGGAGGGAAATTAGAGAGGGAAAGATCAGATATGGGAAAGGAGACAGAGACAACTATTATAGACGAGCGGGCTACTCGGTAACTGAGATAAATAGTAGACGAAGGGTGGGTAGGGAGATGTGGAGGGAGTTGAGAGATAGGGACCGAGATGTGCAGAGACAGGAAAGAAGGACACAAATAAAAGAGGGGAGGTATAACGAAAGGTACAGGGACATAATAACG